AAGACGATTCTGTTGCTGATGAGAAGATTCCTTTCCTTGCGTATCTTGCAAGCAGTTTGAAAAATAATTCTTGTTTTCCGTATGAGCCACCAGCTGGAAGCAAACGTTTCCGCAGTCTCATTGCAGGATTTTTGAAGACTTATCACCATATTCCACTCACTGCTGATGTAAGAAGAAAAAAGTGCTATATTAATCTTAATATCCATGCTGCAGTATGCATATACATAGATGCATATAGCATAAGATGATGTCGCACTAGATTTTATCTTTTTACTAAGCTCAACTGTAAATATCTCATGTTGGTATGCCATCATGTAAATACAGTTCTCTATTGCAGCCAAGCAAAATTGCATGCATTAATGAATGATATATTGCAATATTGACTTCATCTTTTGAAATATTGTGCAAGAATGTTGTCATTTTTCCTTCAAGGACTGCAGCAATTGAGAATGCACTTCGCTTGTTCTCACCTCGCCTTGCGGTTGTTGATGAACATCTGACTCGATACCTACCTCGGCAGTGGTTAACATCTTTGGCACTTGAGGTATGAAATAGTCATGCCTTTCTCTTTTGTGCTCTCATGCAACCATAATTTTCTTCAATTTTTGAACTTGATTAATATTTTGTTGACTCCCTGTATTCTTTTCTGAATATGTCAAAGATATGCAACTAAGTGAATGTTTGTCCTTACTTTCTATAGCAAGAATCATTTCTAAAAAGGTTCTTTTGGTGAGGAACACTTCTAAGAAAGAAATGCAACTATGTGCAGGTTTAACTTTTTTGTGAAGTTTTTTTTCTGGTGAGAATCACTCTTAAAAGTGCTATTTGTTAGAAAACACTTTTTTTTGGGGGTAGGGTGGGGGAGAGAGTTTTGGCTCATTGATGAAGATCATCATCTCCTGAAAGTTAGTTGCTAGTCGTTTGCCATTATGAAGTTGTAAATATCTAGTGTATGTTACGGTCAAGGATGCAGTTATCTTCTGTTTGTGGCTGAAGAATGTATCAGTATCGTTATGTCAAATATCATTGATACTCATCTATTTGTTGTGTATGCTTCTCATACCATTTTGATAACTATTTGGTTTGATTGTTACATCTACTATAACAAACTTTTATCTTTCTAGTAGAGCACAGGAACTGCTGACTATTTAGATGATACAATTATGGTAATTGAAGCCCCTCGGCAATCAGACTTAATGATAGAACTAATAAAGAAATTGAAGCCTCAAGTGGTGGTAACTGGGATTGCTCATTTTGAGGCTGTTACTAGTTCAGCTTTTGTGCACCTTTTAGATACAACACGAGAGATTGGATCTCGTCTTTTCTTGGACATATCGGATCATTTTGAACTGTCCAGCCTTCCGGGATCAAATGGGGTCCTGAAGTATCTTTCAAGAACTATTCTGCCCTCTCATGCGGCAATTATATGTGGACTGGTAAAGAATAAGGTAATATTGCATGTTAACTGCTTGACTGACTGAGTCTGTATGGTAGACTTCTGTTTTGGCTTGATTTTCACTGACATATGTTTTTCAGGTTTATCCAGATTTAGAGGTAGCTTTTGTCATTTCAGAAGAAGAATCCCTCTTTAGCGCCTTGTCCAAAACTGTTGAATTACTAGAAGGGAACACTGCATTAATTAGTCAGAACTATTATGGTTGTATTTTTCATGAGCTTCTTGCTTTTCAGCTTGCCGGCCGGCATGCACCTGCTGAGGTCTGTCTTTCCTTTTTATTTGCCTGTAATTTTAAAATTTGAGTTGCTTTTTATATGTAAAATTTGTTCCTGATATCTATCAGTTCTTTCTGTGGCTCCAAATATATTTGGACAACAAAAGAACTCGGTAGAAAAAAAAGGGTACAAAAGCTTTATTTAGGAACCTAATTTTAGGAGTGAACTTCCCATTTCCCTGTTATCCTTGCCTCATCCCAAATTCATACAAGGAACTGTGTCAGTGTCATTCCTGGACTAGTAGCTGGATGTTTTCATCAATTGCAATGTGACATTTGGTTCTGAATTTAGCTAATAGAGGGCCAAACCAACTTTTGTTATCTGCTTTAGTAGGAAAAAAAGGACAACCCAGGTTCCGGGCCGTACTAAAGTTGTTGCCTAAAACATTAGAAGTTACTAGGATATTTGAGAAAACATTATCTGCAGCATAAATGATCTAGGTTGATGCATGGCCAACGACTCATTTTTAGAACTGATGTTTATCTGCCAAGTTACGTGCCTTGATTATTGTAAAAATTATGGGGATGGGCAATGGTAAGATTGACAACTTAAAGCAGAATATGCCTACTTAAATTACCTTATCTGTGTAGCTATTTATGACTTGTGCTGCTGCCACTTGTTCATAAATTAGTTTGTTACCATATTAAGTTTTCTCATCACTTCAATTTTTACTCCTATTCTTCAGAGAAACTGTGAAAATGTCAAATCAGTTGATATGATAGGATTTGCTAGATCAGCCTTATTGGTCCTTGATAATGCTGAGTTATCTGTTGATGGGATAGAAAATGGGTCCCTGATCCACATGGACGTTGATCAAATCTTTTTACCTGTTCCATCTCCTGTCAAGGCAGCTGTTTTTGAAAGTTTTGCTAGACAAAACATGTCTGAGTCTGAAACTGATGTCACACAAAGTATCAAAAAATTTGTCAAGAGAAACTATGGTTTTCCAACAGATGGCAGCACTGAATTTATATATGCTGACAATTCAAAAGCTCTTTTCAATAAGCTGGTCCTCTGCTGCATCAAAGAAGGTGGCACCCTCTGTTTTCCTGCGGGGTCAAATGGGAACTATGTTTCTTCTGCCAGATTTTTGAAAGCTGACACAGTGACAGTCCCTACCGATGTCGATGTAGGTTTTAAGTTCACAGAAAAGACACTCACTGGAGTCCTTGAGACTGTGAAAAACCCATGGGTGTATATTTCTGGTCCTACTGTCAATCCAACTGGCTTAGTTTATAGCAACAATGAGATGGGAGAGATTTTAAGCACTTGTGCTAGATTTGGTGCAAGAGTCATAATTGATACGTCATCTTCCGGTTTGGAATTTGACTGTGATGGCTGGGATTTGGAGGGGTGTTTGTCTAAGCTGAATTCTTCATTCAAGTCATCCTTCTGTGTGTCTCTTCTTGGAGGATTGTCTCTAAAGATGCTCAATGGTGCTCTCAGATTTGGGTTTCTGATTCTAAACCAGCCAGCTTTGGTTGAAACATTTTATAGTTATCCAGGATTAAGCAAACCTCATATTACTGTTAGATATGCTACAAAGAAGTTGTTGGAGCTTAGAGAGCAGAGACCATCAAGCCTATCAGATACTGCTGTTGAATACTCGAGGATATTGAGAAGCAGGTCCAGATGCTTGAAAGAGGTAATTTGTGATCTGCTAAACATTTCTGTTTGAATTTGATTTTAATTGGTTTGTTTGTATGGTGGTAATTCTTCCTTTTCTTCTTTTTATTAAACGAATGCTAAACTTTTTGTTTTTTGGGGCTAGACACTTGAGAAAAGTGGGTGGGACGTGCTTGAATCCTGTGCTGGTGTTTCTGTTGTGGCCAAGCCCTCTGCCTATCTTAACAAGACTACTAAGCTAAAGATTTCACCAAAAGGTGAAGGCAGCCAAGGAAATGACACTCAGGAAATCACGCTGGACGACTCTAATATTAGGAATGCCATTCTCAAAGCCACTGGTTTATGCATCAATAGTGGCTCCTGGACTGGAATTCCTGGATACTGTCGGTTCAATATTGCACTTGAAGAAAATGATTTCAAGAAAGCATTGGATTGCATCATCAAATTCAAAGAAGTCGCACTAGATTAAATCATCTGCCATTGCAATACATCTCATATTGTTTTTAAATGCTTGAGCTTCAGCGCATGCCATTCTTTTCTATTTTTTTCTCTAGTGTTTTATTCCTCCTATACGCACTGTCCAACAAGCATAATTGTTCTTTTATGATTGCCTGGTTGTGCAATAATGCTCTGCGATGTGAACTTTCTTAGTTGAAGTTAAAAATGAAATTGTTTTCTCTACCCATATATATATTCGCGCGTCTTGGTGGCAACTAGCAAGAGTGATACCTCCCATTTCGTATTGCGAACCACTGAGATAGCAGCTGCTTTTTTTTTTTAACCAGAAAATAGTTACCCAATACCAGCTATATAATATATAAAAGGGATAATCGTTTGTCATGTAACATGATACCATTTGTGTCATGTTACTGACACAAAAACACTGTAGGCCCTATTGTACAGAAAAAAAAGTTAAAAAATTAAGTAGATCCCACGCTATATTGAGTCAGTAGGAAAGCAGATATTTTTCCTATTAGATAACACTTGTATTTCCCTATATAAAAAGATTGTGCAGAATTTGAGCTGTTTTTCAAATAGCCGAGTGTGATACAATTATTTTTTGAAAATCTCCTGAATAATAATAATAATAAGCTTGAAGGAAAGGTGGTACAGTATGATTTTTATTTTTATTTCTTAATAATTGGAGAGTATGATCTTTGTGTTGTTTGTTTGTTTGATATATCTTATTTTTAGTTTATCTTCTCCTTAAAAACATAAATTCAGCCAAACATGCTTTTATAAATTTTTTATTATAAAAAAGATTTATTTTATAAATTAAAAGCTAAAAGTTTCCTAAAAAAGTTTTGTTTTAAGATGTATGTTAGATTTTTTGATTCCTCATATTTATTTTACAATTTTATTCTTATTCTAAATTTATATTTATAAATGTTCTTTTATTTTAATAATAATTATTTTATCTTCTTTGTTCAAAATTATCATAATAATAACTTTATAATTATTAAACAGTTTTTAATTTTGTTTTTTTTTAACTTAAAAAATAAATAAAAAAATTCCCTCGTACAACCTGCATCCAATTTTTGCTCATTCCAGATCGGGTTAAAAATTTAAAATCCGTAACCCGACCTATATAGAGCGTATAAATCATCGTTTGTCTTGTTTGCAGTGTATTCGCTGGGATGGACCAAACCCAAACCCAAACCCTAGAAGCAGAGCGAGAGGAAGACGAAGCCATGCCTGTTTCCGAAGATTCTGACTCCGAGGACGAAGCTCAGTTGAACGTCCAAATAGAATCCCTCGAGACTGAGCTTGCTGCAAACCCCTCCAACTACGATGCTCATTTCCAAGTAATTTTCTTTCTTTCTTTTTTTCAAACTCTGCTCTACCATTCAATCAACTTATTCTTTTCTTTTTTTAAGTCACGGTTGGTGTTGGTCATCATTCTTTTCAGTATATAAAGCTTCTGAGGAGAATGGGTGATGTTGATAAACTGACAAGAGCAAGGGAAGCTATGAGTCTACACTTTCCATTGAGCCCAGCAATGTGGCGCGAATGGACCAAAGATGAGCTTTCTATCAACCCTACTTCTCGGTCTGTTTCTCTTTCTTTTACTCCATTCGTCTTGCTTTTCCTCTCCCGTATGATTAGGAGTTAGGTGACTTTTCTTGACCTAATTACTTGTTACTCTTTGCTTTTACCATGCAGACCTGATGCTTTCTCTACAATTCTGAAACTTTATGAACGTGGGGTTTTTGATTATCTGGTTTGTTATTATATTTCAATTTGCGACTTTCGATAATTAATATCTGCATGAGCACTTTATTTGCCTCTCCTAGTTAAAAAAAAAAAAAAGTCTTTCTTTGAACTGTAGCTCTTTTATATTGATACCGAAGAGTTTAGGTATGGTAGAAGCCAGAACAATTTTTCTCTCGTCATTTATGTATAAATTATTCCTCAAAAAGTTTTACACCACCTATGCATTATCCACTGTTTCAGTCAGTCCCCCTTTGGTGCGACTACATCAATTCTGTTCAAGAGTTTGATCCAATGGTGTGCCAATGTTCACCTGCTGGTGTTTCAAAGGCAAGAGATCTCTTTGAGAGAGCACTCACTGCAGCTGGTTTGCATGTTACCCAAGGAAGTAAAATATGGGAAGCATACAGACAATATGAGCAGGCTATACTTCTAACCATTGATGACAATGATGCACAGGTCAGAACATTTTCCATAACTTTACCATAAATCTATCTTGATGGTGCTATTCAACTTGCCTGTAGTAGTTGGGCTCTATGCAAATTTTACAGGTTAATACAATTGTTTTATTTCATGCTCCAAGCATTGCATCTGGTTAAGTATTCAGAGAGAATCGAAGAAAAGACGAGAAGAGCAGAGAGAGAAAGCTAAAACATTATATTCTTGACCTAATTAAAAGGAGGCACTGTACAATACATATATAGAGCTGTAGATGGACAGCTCAGCAAGAAAAGAAATGTTCTAGAATATGTACAGCTCATCCTATTCTAACAGATAAAATTGCAAAGAATATAATTACAATAATATCCCTAATATGCCCCTGCAAACTCATGTGTGTGGAGAGAGCTGTGTGGAATCTAGAACCATGAGTTTGGTTCTAATATCAGCAAAGCGGGCAGTAGAGAGAGGCTTGGTGAAGGTGTCAGCAATTTGGTCATAGGCTGGAACATGAGATACTTGAAGTTGTTTAGCAAGGACCTTTTCACGGAGGAAGAAAATATCTAATTCCATATGTTTAGTTCTAGCGTGTAGAACAGGGTTATGAGAAAGTGCAACTGTACTTAGATTATCACAGAAAACAAGAGGCACTTGAGTAGGGACTTGTAGTTCACACAACAATGATTGAATCCAAATTAATTCAGCGGCTGTTAAGGCAAGACTTCTGTATTCTGCTTCGGTACTTGAACGAGCTACAAGAGTTTGTTTCTTTGACCACCAAGAAATCAAATTAGGACCCAGAAAAATACAAGCACCGGATGTTGATCTACGGTCATCTGGATCGCTTCCCCAATCTGCATCGCAGAATGCAGTTAGAGGCATGGCAGTGGCTGGATCAGCAGAATGAAGGAGAAGACCAAAAGAAATGGTTCCATTGAGATATCTAAGAATTCTTTTGACAAGCTTCCAATGCTCCTCAAGAGGCTGACTCATGAATTGACAAGCTTTGTTTACAGCAAAGCTAATTTCTGGTCTTGTTAAAGTTGCATATTGCAAAGCACCAACAACAGACCTATATTGATAAGAATCTGGGTGGTAATCAGCACCATAACGAGACGGTTTACAGCCACCAATCATGGGAGTGGATATCCCTTTTGCATCAGCCATATCAGTCTTGACCAAAAGATCTTTAATATATTTTGATTGAGAAAGAAAAAGAGCACCTGAAGAAAGTCGTTTAACTTCAATCCCAAGAAAATAATCAAGCTCACCAAGATCCTTAAGAGCAAACCGAGAATGAAGATGGGAGATAATTTGTTCAATAAATTTGGCATCATTACCGGTGACAATGACATCATCCACATAAACCAGAATATAAATGCAGTGAGATGTGGTGCGAAGAATAAATAGAGAAGGATCACACCGGCTGGTCTTGAACCCCAATTGGAAGAGAGTCTCCTTAAGTTTGTCAAACCAGGCCCGTGGTGCTTGTTTAAGGCCATAGAGAGCTTTGTGAAGTCTGCAAACAGCAGTCTTGTCATGTGATTCAAAGCCAGGTGGTTGTTGCATATACACCTCTTCCTCTAAAACACCATTGAGAAAAGCATTATTTACATCAAGTTGCCTAAGAGTCCAGCCAAAGGAAAGAGCAAGAGTTAGTATGATGCAGACAGTTATGGGTTTTATAACAGGAGAAAATGTTTCACCATAATCAAATCTAGGTTGTTGATGAAAGCCCTTTGCTACTAAACGAGCTTTGTATTTATTTATAGAACCATCTGGGTTTTCTTTAATACGAAAAACCCATTTACATCCTATTGCTTTTCTGCCAGGGGGTAGAGACACTAGGGACCAAGTAGCATTGGCATGTAAGGCAGTAAGCTCATTTTGCATAGTGATACAGACTACTAAGATAATCAAATAATCAACAGAAACACAAGCTATTTTGGGCCCAGAAGAATCTGGATTTTTATATATATTGGACAAGAAAACAGAATTACAATAAGCAACTTCACCAACAGTATTGTAAAGGAAGAAACAAGGGACAATTACAGAGATTCTAAGCAAGACACATTACAGAGACAATTTGCAGAATATAAAAGAGAATTACAACAATCAAGGAAATAACAGTAAAGGATAATTCTAGAGGAATTCTAGAGCCCCTAGTCTCTCCCAAATCACCCTAAGGTGCCCAAGGTTCCAAATGCCCCTACAGCTCTGCTTTCCAACGCTACAACTCTGACTTACAATAAAACAATAAAGGCAATAAATGGCTCTAACACTCAAATTATCTTCAAATATCCACACTTAACATATTTCTCATTCAAATCATGAAAATATATAATTCATGCAATAATAATGTAAAATCAAGACAATTATGGCACCAAAACATCACATAATAGCTTAAAAATAACTCTCCACCATAGAGTTATCAGCTACCTTGTAAATATTCGATCGTAAGGCAAGGCCAATTTGACAATTTTACCACAAAACTAGCAGATGTCCCATTAACTAATTTTCCTAACCAAAAGAAAATTGATGCGCAATTCTTGAGTGTTCAATGGTAATCTATTGACCTAGACATTGTTGACCTCTTTCAACCCTTAAGACATGTTATGAGGTGTGGCAAGCACACAAATGCTACACAACATATAGTGTCACTTCTCTATTATCTCTAGTATGATGGGTTTGTGCAAATAATAGTATACTATGGGAATCTCACTTGCCAACATGCGTTCTTGTTGCAAAAATTTGCTGCCATGATACCTCACATGAAGGACTAGTTTGAACACAAGAATCAAAGAGAATGATTCTTTTTGGTCCTCATCCCCTCTGCTTTTTCATAGTTTCACATTTTCTGGGAAATTTTCGCACCTATTGAGCATCTCTAGTATGCTTCTATTGGCCTTTACTACTACTTCAACAATGCCAGTATTAGATTTCCTATGCTCTCGTCTCACAAGCCAACAACTCTTGGTGGTGGTGTTGCAAATTCCACAAATCACTTATGGCCTGTACCGGTCACATTGGGCCTTGTGGACATGGATGTGGTTGTTGACTACATCCATTGAAATTAATATGTATTTACCATGGAAAAAAAGTAATTTGATTGGTATGATCCACGGGTTTCTTATCTTCAGTGTTAGAGTCTTTGATATATGTTAGAGAATAATATAAATCATTAAAAGGCTCTCACCTAACACCTTAAGGTTTTTGGTTGAAGTGGTTCTTTACATGGTATCAGAGCTTCAGTGACCATATGGTCACGAGTTTGATCCTCACCGCCCCCCACTTCCAAGTGGAGTTCAATAAGCACAAGGTAAAACCAAAAAAATTGGGCCTATGCAATATCCACGATTCAAGCCCAAAAGGCTCTTGCGTGAGAGTATGTGTTAGAGAATAATATAAACCATTAAAAGGCTCTCACCCAACACCTTAATGTTTTGGGTTGAAGTGGTTCTTTACAATATATGATATAAATTGTTAATGTGGTTTTCACTTAACAAATTAAACTTTTAGGTTGAATTGGTGCTATACATGCTATTAGAGTCTTTGTGACCAAGTGGTCATGAGTTTAATTTTCACCATCTCGTTCCTAATAAACTTTAAATGTAGGTTAAAATCTGCATTGGATAGACAAAAAAATAGGCCTGTGCATTATTCATGCTTTAAGTCCAAAAACTCTTGCATGAGGAGAAGATGTGTCAGAGATATAATATATAAAATCATCAATGTGACTTTTACTTAACAACTTGATCTTTTTAGTTGAATTGGTGCTATACATCCAGTGACCAACTTGTAGATATTTTCACTGAGGTTCTTTAGTCAACTATTTATGTGACAAACTTGGTGCATATGATCTATACATACCTGCATGATGGTGAGTTTTAGAATGTATTGATAGAATGTGTAATATGTTAAAATCATAATTATTATTTTTTATTTTCTTTTTTTCTTTCAATTTTTTCTTGCTTTTCAATTAGGTTCATCAATCACCAACCCTAACTAGTTTGGGACTGAGGTGTTATTGATGTAGTATGTTAGCATATTGTAGATGATTACAGTATTATATCAGGTATGGACTGTAGAATCAACTAGGGTTATGTATATGAGGGATTGAATCATTGAAAATTATACCCATGCCAATATATAGGGAGATTGTACAGGCTCAAAATTCTCCTGGTCAGATTTCCTCCGAAATTCAAGTGAGATCATATTTTACTTTTGGTTTGTTCTAGAGTTAAAGGACAAAGAAAACCCAGCAGCCAAAAATAAATTTGATTCGAAGGATAACTTTTGGCATTTACCTAAATTTTTTGCTTTAGTTGGTTAAATTCTGCATGCTGAAGCATTTTATGGAAAAATAAATAAATTAGCTTACAGTTTGTCTTTGGACTGAGTGGGGGAAAGCTCTAAGTATTGTGGATGGGTAGACTTATTATTTCTTATGTTGCAGGGTCCTTTTTAGTCATTTTTCCCTATATTTTTTATTTTATTTTATTTTTCTCTCACTTATTTTTCTTTTCCTCAATCTTTCCTTGTTTTTATTTGGATTCATTGACTGCCTACCTCAACTAGTTTGGGATAAAGGTGATGTTAATATATAGATTGTTCCAGTTCAACTTTTAAGTTTTCTTCTTCCCTTGTAGTCAAAAGAAAAGCAAGTTCAACGCATTCGAAGTTTATTCCATCGCCAGTTGTCTGTTCCGCTTGCTGATATGAGTTCAACACTTATGGCCTATAAGACTTGGGAGGTGGAACAAGGAAATCTTCATGATGTTGAATCCATTGACCTGGTCAATATTTATCCTCAAGTTGCATCAGCATACCAGAAGGCCTTGGAGATGTATGATGCACGTGTTCATTTTGAAGAACAGATTTCTATCCAGGATATTTCTGATTCAGAAAGACTGCATCACTACATGGTATGTCTCCTGTTCCAAATATGGCTAATTACTTGCGGGAAATAGAACTCTAAAATTTTGTTCATTTATTGTTCTTTAGCATTTATAATTCCTTTTAATTAAGAGAATTGTATTGCAGAACTATCTGAAGTTTGAGCAGTCTTTTGGAATACCAGCCAGAATTCAAGTTCTATATGAACGAGCTATTACCGAGTTTCCTATATCACCTGATCTTTGGCTTGATTATACTCGTTATTTGGATAAAACTTTGAAGGTTTTTATTTTCCTCTTTGTTATTAGCACATCGTAACATCCATTTGCTAAGTTTATAATCTAGATATTTTACCCCTTTTTGCTTCTTTCTCCAGGTTGGTAAAATTGTCAGCAATGTTTATTCTAGGGCCACTAAGAACTGCCCTTGGGTTGGAGAACTTTGGGTTCGTTTTATGCTTTGCTTGGAGCGTGGTCATGCTTCTGAGAAAGAATTGGCTGAAGTATGTTTTTGGATTTGAAACACCTTATTAGTAATTTTTCCCTTTCTTGGTACAAATTAAATATTTGAAAATCCAGTTATTGTGCTTTGAATCAAATTAATTTTTCCTATTTCATGGTGCAGAGATGCACTTGTCTTTCTAATACTTCCACACGGATTTAGCTGGTATTCTATCACAAAAGGAAGAAATATTCTAAGTTAAACCGAAGTATGACCTTGGGGTTTTGTTATGAAAGGATGTTGACATACACGATAATATTTGTAGTTAAAATAAGCAATGATAAGAGAGTAGTATATCTTCAGTGTCACCGTTGTGCCTTAAAACTTATATCAAGAAAAAACTGGGTAATATAATATAATGTGAGCAGATTGGCCATCTTATGTTGTCTTATTACAAGGCTGTGCAGTTAACTTGAGTACAGTGTTCATCTTTAGACTTCTCTTTGAATATTAGACTGCTTATTTTAAAATTTTGTAAAAGATGGAGGTTGTTGTTCCTCTTTTTGTATGCATATTATTGATTGATGCGCCTTCATGCAGTATTGCCAATGGCATATGGCCGGCTTTGGGGCAAGCCCCAAAACTGACTTGGTGGATGGTAGGGGACGGCTATAGTGCTATGTTGAAGTAAGGTTGCCATTTAAAAAATGAAAGAAATATATATGTAGTACACAGAGAGAGAGTATACAGAGGAAGGAAAAAATCTTATAATTTCAGATAAAATTGAAAAAAGATAGGAAGAACAGGGTTCTGTTTGCAGCGAAGAAAGGAATAATGAAAAAGAACAATGATTAGATGTAGAAGATAGATGAATCTTTCCTGAGGACTTATGTCTGTAAGATTTTGGGGAGGAGCCTCGAAGCTTCTCTCTGTGTTGACTATTGAGATCCTGAGTTGCATCATCGAGTCAGGAATCAGTGATTGTTCCGGATTTTATTTTTTTATTTTTTTAAAAATTGCTTCTATATTTTAACACATTTTTTCCGAAAACTAAGAAACACAATGGCTGGATGCTGGGAAATAATGGGAGTGATGAGCGAAATTCCTATTTGGAAGTCATCGCATATCTACTGCAGTTGCTACGGCTGCTGTTTAGAAAGCTGCTATGCACATGATTGGTTCCATGCGCTGCCACGTTGAAGATGTTATGCCATTCTACCAAGGTGGCCACTATCGATAACTCTGCTTATATGAGTAATGCATAGTGCTTTGCGTACTGTGTATGAAGTGGGGCAATATCCTAGCACAATAAACATATTTGTCATATGTAGTTATGTGCAAAGATTATTGTTTAATTTTTCTCTCCTTCTTTACTAAAGGTGTGGCAAAATTACCTCCTTTCAACATCAAAATGCATGTAATATGCCTTTGGTTTCTCATTTTCACTCTGCATTTTCCGTACTTACAACTATGGTCTTGGTTATCTCTTTTAATCATTAGAACGAGAAGGAAATTCTAACGTACTAAACCCGAACTGGATGGTGCTGTATGTAAAGGTAGCTTTTTTATTCACATTTGGGTGAGTTACTTAGGTAATTTTGTCACTGATTTCAGGTCTTTGAGAAGTCCATGCAATGTACCTTTTCAAATCTTGATGAGGTATGACCAATATTCAATTTAGTTTGTTTGCGTCATTCTCTGTAGTGCTTGTTATATTATCTCTTTATAATTGCATTCCCCTACTTCTCTTAACTTTCATAATTCTCTAGAATATATTGCATTTACAAATTGTTTAATATAAACTTTTGTTTCAGTATCTTGATTTGTTTCTCACCCGGGTAGATGGCTTAAGGCGAAGAATGACATCCACCAGTGAAGAGGATCTCTTGGAATATAAAACAATAAGGGAGACCTTCCAGGTTGGTTATATTTATTTCAAGACCTATCAATCATGGACATCCTGCCAAATTGGTCCCTAAAGAATATTCCTATAAAGCTAAGTTGAGGTGAAACTGTGAAAGTAAAAATGATCTAGTGGTACTTCCGCTCCACCTTTTTTATGTTCTCGCCTAGAATTTTTCTTTCTCTCCCTCTGCCTCTAACTACTCAACTGTGGTGGTTTGGTCATGTGAGAAGATCAATAGAAGCTCAATAAGAAGTGGATCAGATGAAAGATACTCCAATAGTTAGTGATTTTCCACCAAGAAAAACTCTGGGTGAGACAATTAAAAAGGATTTAGATCTAATGGATTTTCTGAGGACTTGGTTCATGACAGAACACAATGACTTTGTTTGATCCATGTGACTAAACCCACTTCGAAAAATGGCTTTATTTGTGTTCTTATAGCCATCTTAGCATCTTTATTAAGCTAAATTTCTAACAAGGTAATAGTTGCAGGGAAAATAAATTGGAAAAGTTCATAGTAATTTTATCTTAGTCATTTGTTATTGCTGTTATATATGTCATACATATTTTGAAAACTGAAAGAATGAACATGCTACCGTTGGTTCAAAATATAAAAGTCAGGTTAATTTAACCAGGGCCTTGTTTGGGCACTTAAGGAAGGATGTCAATGATATAGTTGCTCTGGTTTAAGCTTTCTAAAATTCTAGTTCGTGTGTGATATTCTGTTCTTTATTTTTGGAAGAAACCCCTTGTTAACTCAATTTTATTTTTAGCATTAAGGGAGTAACTTGAAATAGGTACTTGATGACACTTTAGACACCCAATAATTTTATTAATATATTTCTCTTTTTCTTTTAATGGCATTTGTTAATAATTATGTCTTGTTTTGAAGCTCTAGTTCCTATTACCATAGTTGCTTTTCTCAGGAAAATGACAATCTGTTCCACACCCTAAAATTAAGCATGTTGCAAGAATAGGGTTTGCACCAACTGATCAACTCGTATGCTGTTGTGAATTAGCTAAAATGTTTCTTTTAAAACTATGTATTATATCTGATGATGCATGTAAGCTAACTATTTGCCTTGTCCAGCGTGCAAAAGATTACCTGACACCATACTTGAAGAATACAGAGGGTCTGTTACATTTGCATGCTTATTGGGCCCATTTAGAAATAATACTTGGAAAAGATATAATTGCAGCTCGTGGAGTTTGGGAGAATTTTCTTAAGATCTGGTTTGATAATGTCCATTTTAATCATTTCTATATTATATTCTTTGATTTTGTTTTATTTATCATTTTTAAATTATTTTTAGACTACTTTTTGACTTCTTCCCTTTTTTTTTTTGGCAGTGGTTCAACATTGGAGGCATGGAATCGTTATATAGTAATGGAAGTTGAATTGGGTCACTTAAATGAAGCAAGGTCCATATATAAGAGATGCTACAACAGAAGGTTTCCTGGGACTGGTTCAGAGGTACAATTACCTTTCTCTTATTTCTAAAAATTATTGACACTTTTTTTAATCCAAATCGATTTAATCTGGTTCGACCACTGTTGCTCCACCTAAAAGTTTGCCTGACTTGGAAGAACTTAATCATATGAAGAAAGTAGAGACAAAGATAAACCTTGGTTGCGTAAGACAGTTGAGAGAAGCTTCTTAGCTCCTGATTTTTCAAAAGAAACTTTTGAAATAATCCTTGCTTGTGTTGATCTTACCCCATCAAATTCCCAATTCTAACCTTGGGTCAGCTCTGCCTCTGAAAAAGAGGTTACTGAAGGTCATAGATAAGTCATAAGTCCTAACAAAATGTTAGGCTCAGTGCACAAGGCTGTTGGGATCTTGGGAAACATCGCCAACAAGAGCAAAGAGGCTGTTTTTGCTACTAGAACCCGTGATCATTCCGGTCCCAAGCGGGAACCTTATTGTTGTGCCAAGGCTCGCCCTCATATAGTCTATTAAGACCGGAGGAAAAGTACCAAAATGAAATCATCAATTCATTGTGCTCATTTTCCAAGATGTGAAGCTGTCAATTAAGATTGGAAGTCACAGTATTTTTTATATTTTTATTTTTTCGTTTTCTATTTTTGTTCCTTGAGAAAATGATGAAATTATTGTACTCATTGTGTTTAGATACTATTTATGGGTTATTTTACTTGCTATGTAATATTATTTGGATTAGATGATACCTTCCCTTCCTAAAAAACAGAATCATTCAGGACATATGCTATTCATGGTTACGCTTTGAGAGGGAGTATGGCAAGTTGGAAGATTATGATCATGCTTTACTAAAGGTAAACTTATTCCTCGTCATCTTCAGTTTCATTGTTTTCAATCAAATCTGCATTATCTCTGTGTTTATATAAAATTTCTTTGTTAGAGATATAAAACCAGCCTCTGTTTAAGCTTTTAGAGATTATCTTCAACAATCTAAATGAAGGATTGGAGAAATATCCAATAATACTTGAAGTAATATCTAAATTATGATATCCTAATAATGTCTTCCTCTGTTGGTGATTAGTTCTATCAATCAAACTAAATGTTGTAGAAAAATATAAGGAAGAATTTTCTGATGCCTTTTTAGTAGAAGATTTGTTCATAATTCAAGCTAAACTGAATGTATTACTAAATATAATATGCCATGTTATGACCCAAGTTAACGAGACTTAAGTACCACATCAAAACTATTGGATCTTGATGCGGGGTTTATATGGTCTTGGTTCTTCAACCTTAATGCCTAGCTTTTTTGGTGTGGTTGTACCAAGGTTTGTATCAGTTATATGGAGAATAAGGAATGACCTTTGGGATTGCCTTCTTGGGCAGCATAGTTATATTAAAAATGAAATGTCTCCACCTCCGATGGTTACTCTGGTACCATCCTCTGCCATCTAGTGTAGCTGTTAGTGAAATGGTCAACCCTACTCTGTGGACTTGTTTATAAATTGATCGGGCAGAAGAATAACTAATAATTGTTTTGATATGCTGATTTATTTTTTAAGGACTGCCTTTCCTTAGGTTACCCCTCGTTTGGAAGAGCTTCAGTTATTTAGGATACAGCAGGAATCCAAGTCAGCTGAGGAAAGTGAAAATAATCCAAAGAGAAATGCACGTGACAAGAGAAAGCTGGGGTCAGATATAACTGACAAACAGTCTCCAGCAAAGCGACAGAGAGATGCTGGTAGAAACCCAAATAAAGCGCATGAGGATAATAAATATCAAGTGAAGAACTCTTCTCAGGTTACAAAAGTGGAAGGGGTCAATCAGAAGAATAGCATGTCAGATGATAACCTAAGTGAGCAAGAGTCTGCCCCCAGAAAAAACAGGGCATACACTGACCAGTGCACTGCCTTTATATCAAATCTTCACATTACGGTAGATAATACTCTTAGCCTCTCTTAGAGTGTGTTTGTGTGTGTCTGACTAATGAGTTGTGTTATTACAGGCAAATTCTGAGCATATTCGTAAATTCTTCAGTGATGTTGGTGGAGTTGTCGCCATTCGTATCCTACATGACAAGTTCACTGGAAAATCAAGGGTATCAAATGACATATTCTTTATCATTTACATTTATTTCTTTGTGCCTTAATCTTTATCCCTTGCTGAGTTTTCTTAGTTGGGTTCGTGTGGTGGGGTTTGGGCTGGACTGGTGCCTTCAGTTTCAAAATCTTGCTATTTCAGGGATTTTGCCATCTTTTTGTCATGGGTAAAACCGCAATGGTCAAGGGGAGTACAAAACAGTACTTAAAACCTTAAGGCATTTGGTTTATCAGTTTTTCCACTTATATGGTCCTTAGTTCATTTTTCTCAATGTGTGTTTTTTATCCTCACACTTGAATTTATAAAATACATATAATATTAATCATTAATTCAGCTGAGTATGGGAGTATATTTCCATAGCATGGGAAAATTAACATATATTGTACACCATATTTTTTTAATCAAAACACACCCAAACCATATAACCAAGTGAACAAATCATGATACAGTACAGCAAATGAATGTTATATGCCATTCACTGTGTCCATACCTTAACTTAGAAATGTTTATCTTGATATTGATTCAGGGACTAGCATATGTGGACTTTTTGGATAATGAGCACCTTGCTGCAGCAGTAGCTAAGAACAAACACTGGTTACTTGGGAAGAAGTTGAGCATTGCGCGGTCTGAACCAAAGCATGGTGGGAAGGAATCTTCTAATCCAAAAACCTTGAAAGAACATGGTAAGAAAAGTGAACTTTGAATATTTTTTACTTTGGTCTGGTGCATACATGAATGTGCATGCGATCCTCCCTGATTGTGACCTTAATACATGCACAACATTTTGTATAGTGTGAACACCCTATTTTGATAGATGCATTTAAAAATAAAACCAATAAAAAAATTAATTCAGAAAAAAGAGGGTGATAAAAATCTTCCTACCGGTGGTTGTTACTCAAAATCGATGGAGCCAACAAACAAACAAGGAGAAGGCTCATCTATTTAAATGAAGGTTGCAGGTTACCTAAAAACAGTGAAAAAGAGAGTTTTGAGAAGGAATAATGATCATGTTTGGGGCTATTAAAAGAGTGTAGCAGAGATTGGTCCGGGGGAAGAGTTTTGAAGGAGGAAAAAACTGAGAGTTTTGGAAGAAGAAGCTAGCTAGAGAGTTTTGATGGAGCAAACAAAAGTGTTTTTATATGATTTTATAGGCTTAAAAGTGAAAGCATTTGGAAAAGTTGTGAAGAAGGGGGGGAAAGACTAGACGACTGGAATTTGAGGTTTTGGGGATTTTGTTTTTTGTTCTTCCTCTTGGCACTAATGAGGTAAGTCCCCTTACAGTGTTTCAATTCTTATTTCCATTGTTGCTATATGCCCTGTCTGGCGATATGAGTGTACTTTTTAATATCTTGTTTGGTTACTTGGTTCTTAAATTAGTCTTATGTTATCATGCTTTTGCTTCTTCTTTACATGCCGAAGCATTTTCTCATTGCAATTACACAACCACCCAACTGAGAAGTCGCAAAAACACGTCAGATTCTTTGACATACACCTCAATAAGCTTGTATTTTTTGTATTTCTCAAACCACTTGCTCGTCTGGCATCCTCCACTGACATTTGTTACAGAAGCTTATAATAAATGTTGGCTTTGTCTGTGTTAACATCGTTTGATATTGTTTCTCTAATCAATTTATCAGCACATGCCAATGACGGTATCGGTGAAAAAGGTTCAGCGTCCAAAGAAACTGATAGTACTCCCAAAGGAGATATAAAGGATGCGAAGTTCTCTTCTAGAAAGCCAGGAAGTGACAACATCCAGCTTAAAGGGAAAAATACTTTTGCTGTGCCTAGAAATGTAAGACCACTTGGTTTTACTACAAATAAACCAAAAACAGAAGAGGGGGATGAAAAGCCAAAATCCAATGAAGAATTCAGAAAGATGTTCATTGGTTAAGGGTTTAGCACCGCTAATTTGTAACTTTCCAAAGATGGCAGATATCTAAAATGTTTTTGACAAACGGTGGAAAGTATGGGAGTTATCTGTCTTCAAGTATGTCGCTTTGTTCTGTTGCATAAATCAGATCAGATTATTCTCCCTAAATTTACCTTCGCTGTCTATAATTGATTTGTAGAATGTGTTCTGTTAGGGCTCTATATAGTACGTATATGCAATTTTCATATAAATGAATGGGATGTTAGATTTTTCAGCTGTTACACACCAAAATTCGCGCACTATTACACGTCAGCCAACGATTAACTAGTGAATAGCGTTTTTGTGGTAATCAGGGATATTAATTGATAAAAGTGATATGTGAGTTTTGTTTTGTATTTATAACTTTTGTAGATTTTTGCTGTGAATGTGTAAACCAGCGTTTAAAGAGCTCCGGTATGTTTCTTTCAAAATGAAATCATTTATAAAGAAATTGAGTTTGTAATCATTTTTTATTTAATTTAAAGTGTAGTATAATCTTAATTTATTAAAATTTCATTTTAAAGATAAAACATTTTTTTAAAGAGCACTTGTGCTTGTATTACGGTATGAAAAACTAGAAGGCTTTGACCTGAGTTTAAAAGCATAGATAATACCTGCAAGGTGTGGCTCGGTTGGTTTGGTGCTGTGTTCAAGGGTTTTGGGCTATGAGTCTAAAGAGCTTGAGTACGACTCTTGGTAAACACACTTTGTGAATAGTGGAGAATTTTTTGCCCTCTCAATCCGTGAAAGGGAATTAGTGTAAGGATGAAAGACTTCAAATACTTTGACATGTATTTTCACTTGACATCGATTGTATTGGCATACATAATACGATTAACCGTACGCTTGTCTGAGCACTCAAATTTTTTTATTCTTTTTAATCCGGCGTAACCTGTTAAATTTTCTTGACAATTAAAATAAATTAGTAATGCCTAAAATTTCATTTGATTTAAATTTGGGTTTTTAGTTATTTATTTTAGATATTTAGTTTTTAAATTTTGTTTATTTATATTTTGGTCAAGACTGATGTCTCAATGATTAAAAATTATAAGTATCAATTCTTTATAAAAAATAATGATTAATGCGTAATGAAATTTTTTTGAAGATTAAAACTAGGAGTTTCTCTTTTTTCATATCATATGAGGTAGCATCTCTTATTCTATAAACACAATAAATAATGATGCTCATCACTTATTAAAAATAAACAAGAATATAGTACGGGTTTCGATGCCTCACGAGAAAACAATATTTAATAACAAAAGAAAATAATTTCCCTAAAACTATAAAAAGTCGCAAAGAAGAAACAGAAAAACAGATGTCTCGTTACACGTTACTCGTTAGCCTTAAATATTGTGATGAAATGAAATAATAAGAGAGATAGCTAGCTGTTCTTCTTTGGTTGAATTATTTTCTCTTGACATAAGTCTGAGGCTCTGATTGATTAGCCTACCTAACAGAAACTAACTCCGCTGCTGAGTGGCGAGCACAATGCGTTGGAGGCAGCTTTCTGATCTTAATATATGCAGGCGACTCTACAAATAACTCATGCTTGAGTCAGGTTCAGTTTCTTTTACCATGAGTAACTCAACCACCCCCATCACTGCTTATGACTTTGAACTCATGTACCCTTGGTTTCCTTACACGCTACATCTATCTATATATTACCCTCTTCAGGCCTTTTAAGTAAATGATTGCATGAGACTCTCATTAGGTAACACTGGTCCTGTCGTCTATACAAGGCACACCAAACCCACCCTTTTGGCTTATTCTTATTCGCGCGCGCGGGTATATATATATATATAGACAGGTTTTTCTACCTATCATTTTTTTGTTTATTTTTGCTTACCACTCTCCAACATCATTAGATCAGAATCTCAACTACATTTATCATTTCTCTCTCCTATTAAGATTCTGATCGAACTGTGGTCGAAGAGTGGTAGGCAAAAGTAAACAGAAAAAATAATAGGTAGAATAACTTATCAAATATATATATATATATATATATATATATATATATATGTATGGGTTAAGATCATTTCACACCAGTTATACTCTTAATCTTGTCCGTTGATTCCATTTATATCTAAGGGCTCTAATTTTTTAGTAATGTGAGCATTGGATATAAATGGATCAATGGTCAAGATTGAGTGTAAGACTTCTAACTCTTACATCGGTATAAGAATATCATGCCCTTACTTATATATATATATATATATATATATATATATATATATATATATAGGGATAGGATCCTTTGGCACTAGTATCAAATTTTAAAATTTGACATTAAATCCTAACCGCTGATTTATGCCAAAGAACGGTTATCATTTATTAGGAATTAAACTTAATTATTAATTAACTATTAATTCAAATAAATGATAATCGTTGATTGGCGGAAATCAACGGTTAAGATTTGGTGTGAAATTTCAAAATTTGACACGATGTCATATGATCATATATATCTCATACATAATAAACCCATCGAAAATGAGACACTCTTTTCTTTTCTTTTATAAATGGCGAGTCTCATCACATGTGTGTCTGCAACATGAGAGATCATGTCTCCTACTGCATGAGATTATATATATATATATATATATATATATAGGAAAAAAAAATTCTCATGTCGTTAGAGAGTTGTTTTCTCTTACTAGTGACGTTTCGATTTTTGTGCAATATTTTCTTTTTGTTTTTTTATTTTTTTAATAGATGTGGGCTCCACAGAAAATGTGTTTACAACATGAGAAAATTTTCTCCTACCGCATGAGAAAATCAAAACCCATATATATATATGGATTCGTTGGATATCCTATGACCGTTTTTAATTATGTACTAAAGATAGTACATAGATATAATATTTAAGTTACTTATTCTCTCTCCTCTACGTCAATAACTTTAATATTTTAACTATATACTACTTTTAGTACATAATTAAAAGACAGCTGCGGTCCAAAAACTCAGGCCTACAACATAATACTTATATATATAGAGAGAGACTTATTAATATCATGTTATTGAAGACATCTTATTTCATGCCATAAAGATAAATATGTGAATCCATTTAATTTTTATTTTATTTTATCTTTATAATATAAAACAAGATGTCTCCAACATAAGAAAATGTTTTCCAATTTGCTTTTGTTAAATTTATAGCAAAAGCAATGCAGAAGCATACATGAATATAGAATCAGCAGCTACCCAACAAGAAAGTCAGCTGTATGTAATGCAGAATTAGTTTGCGTTTCATGACCCAGCAGATCTTACGGATGCTACATCCCAAAAGTCTTAGGTCAACGTAATGGTGTACATGTTAGACCCTCCATGGATATAAGAATGTTTAGTACTTATTTTCTTAAGTAATTAAAAACATTTTTAACTAGTGTCGAAACTCATGTCATTAGATGTATTTTTTTCCAACTTAGTGAGTTCTCCAAATAATTTAATGAAGAAAAACTTTCTAGGAGGATTCAGAGAGATAGTTTTGGAGACGATGGACAGAGCAAAATTCGTAAATTTGGATATAAGTAAGGAAGTTTGCATTCATCATTTAACATGACATAAAAAAAATTTTACATACATAATATTTTGTGGTGCCCACATTTTTTGAAGTAAAATAAAATAAAATTAAAACACGCAAAATAAATCTCTATAATATTACAGAATCATTTTTCCTACGTCATAACTCTTATAATATAATTAAATGTATTGATGTTTTAAATTTCATGGATGCAATTAATTAGAATGATGAGATAACCATGGCTGATGAAACACGGATAGGAAGAGAACAAGTTGATGGGACCCACCGAGACCCACACTTTGATAGAAAAGGTTAATGCAGAGATAAGCTTTTCACTCATGCGTACGACTCTCTTTCTTGTATTGGATCGCGCTCCCTAAATTAACATTCCATCCTTTAATATATATATATATGGGTTAGGATCATTTTACACCAGTATAAGTTACACTCTTAATCTTGTCCGTTAATCCCACTTATATCTAAGGGCTCAAATTTTTTAGTAATGTGAGCTATTGGATACAAGTGGATCAATGGTCAAGATTGAGTGTAAGACTTCTAACTCTTACACCGGTGTAAGAATATCCTGCCCCTATATATATATATATATATATATATATATATATATATATATATATATATATATATATATAAAATACATCAGTAAGTAGTCACGTAAATTATTATATTAATGGGGCAAGATCATCTTACACCGGTGTAAGAATAATAAGTCTTACACCAAATCTTAACCATTGATTTTCTGCATCTAACGGTTAAGATTTATTAGGTCTCACTCATTAATTAATTTTTAATTCCCAATAAATTTCAATCGTTAGATGCACGGAAATCAACGGTTAAGATTTGATGTAAGATTTATTATTCTTACACCGGTGTAAGTTGATCCTATCCCTATATTAATATATAAAAGTGTTTTTTTTTAGATAATATATTCAAATGTTTAATAAAAGACAATGAGATCACGTAAAGAAATTACGTGGTCATGTTCATTCTTTAATAAATGACTTCATATGTATTGTATAGAGAAATTAAGGTGGTCATGTTTTTCTTCGTTGGGCATATATGCAAGACTGAGATTACTCATGTATTGAGTTGTGAGCTGTTTATGGTCCCCCAACTGAATCAAACCCATCATGCATGACTACTTGCCTCTCATTAAATCTAGAAAAGATAATACTATCTACTTTTTCGTCAGGATATGCACCCGGGAATAATACTATCCACTTTATATATTCTTAATATTTAAGCATGCCGTTTTATTAAAAAAAATAAATTATTTAATAGACTACTCATTTAATATTTAAGAAAGTGTTGTTAATTGGTGTAAAACTATCAGATAAGTCTTTACCACGTTAAATTTCGAATTTGAAGGAAATATGGAATATCTATATTATGACCAAAGAGTTATAACAACATGAATTGGAAGATTTCTTTCTTAAATTTCACTTAGCTAGAAGATGGTGGTGGGATAAGAAAATCGGAAGGGATATAAAACGAGTTACGTACAAGGAAAGTCATTGTCTTTTTTTTTTTTCGCTTATAATTTTATTTCTTGATTGGTAATTATGACATTACTTTGAATCTCATGCCTTGCCATGATATAGCCACATAGAATGTTGGGTGCACTTTTGCCCCCTTTATGTGTGTCATTTGACCTTTGGGTATTACTTGAGACAAAAATTTAAAGCAGTGGGAATGT